AGCAGAGAGATGCAGGGGTGTCTCAGATCTGGGGGTACCTAGGGACTGTAGCTCAGAGACCTAACTTAGCTTTTCATTTAACGGTAACTCAAGGACTCCCCAGGCCCGTGGTTTGAGTCTTTATTGTCAAGTTTGAGGCCTATGAGCCTTAGCATAAGGGGCCCAATGGTGACGCAGAGTTTTGGGGTCCTGACAACATTTGGGGGGGGTGGCATCTGTCCCAAATGATACCGGCCAATTGCAGGAACACTGAAACGATACCATGTTGGGCTATTCTAGGAGAAAAACATGTCTCCTGGGGGTGAACCCTTCTCCCAACTCTGAGTCCTACCCGGAAACCCAGCCGCTGCGTTCACAAGGCGACGTGGGGAGCATCCCTTCCGAACTTTGCTAGGCCTTTCCTGGACCCGGAGAAGAGCTCTGGGCAGCGTGAAAGCGCATCTCTCTCCCTGTCAGAAGTTGGTCCGGTGAACTATATGGCCAGACCTGCCTTGTCTCTCAAATATCCTGGGACCAACATGGCTGCAACAGCCCTGTCCAGTAAAATGTTGCAGTCATGGACTATTACGCTGCTATTTGGTACCATTCCTTAGATAGACTCACACCCTTCTTGGGGAGCTGGTGGTAGCGAAACAGATGGGCATCCTACTCCGTCCCTGGCATGGCAGACGAGTCTGATGGTCTGGATCTCCCCCTTACTTGTTGATCTGGGCCGGATGGGTGCTGTGGATATTCATACAAATGCCCATCTCTAACTTACTCACCCTAGTGATGTTGGGGTGTCCTTCTTTGACAGGTTAGTCTATTAGCCATCTTCACTTAAGATCATCGGTATCAATTCCTTGCCAAGGCAAATTTTGCGTGAAGCATCAGATTGCCTGGCTTCACCCACATTGCTGTGACTGGGGCATTTGGCCCACTGAATGGGGGACACCACGTTTTGTGACTGGCGTGTGCAAGACCCTTGGCTCTTGAAAGCTGTTGATCATTGTAGTGGTGAAGATATGGCTGCTGGTTTTGTATCTCTCAGGAGACAGGCCAGTCCTTGCCTACAGACAGCCCCGCAACCTGAAGCAAATACTCACCAACAACCACATACCACACAACAGAACCACTAGCCCAGGAACTTATCCTTGCAACAAAGCCCGTTGCCAACTGTGCCCACATATCTATTCAGGGGACACCATCACAGGGCCTAATAACATCAGCCACACTATCAGAGGCTCGTTCACCTGCACATCCACCAATGTGATATGTGCCAGCAATGCCCCTCTGCCATTTACATTGGTCAAACTGGACAGTCTCTACGTAAAAGAATAAATGGACACAAATCAGATGTCAAGAATTATAACATTCATAAACCAGTCGGAGAACACTTCAATCTCTCTGGTCACGCGATTACAGACATGAAGGTCACTATCTTACAACAAAAAAACTTCAAATCCAGACTCCAGCGAGAAACTGCTGAATTGGAATTCATTTGCAAATTGGATACTATTAATTTAGGCTTAAATAGAGACTGGGAGTGGCTAAGTCATTATGCAAGGTAGCCTATTTCCCCTTGCTTTTTCCTACTCCCCCCCGACGTTCTGGTTAAACTTGGATTTAAACTTGGAGAGTGGTCAGTTTGGATGAGCTATTGCCAGCAGGAGAGTGAGTTTATGTGTGTGTGTGTTTCAGAATAACAGCCGTGTTAGTCTGTATTCGCAAAAAGGAGTACTTGTGGCACCTTAGAGACTAACCAATTTATTTGAGCATGAGCTTTCGTGAGCTACAGCTCACTTCATCGGATGCATACCGTGGAAGTGAGCTGTAGCTCACGAAAGCTCATGCTCAAATAAATTGGTTAGTCTCTAAGGTGCCACAAGTACTCCTTTTCTTTGTGTGTGTGTGTGTGTGTGTGTGTCCCCGGGGGGGGGGGGGTGAGAAAGCCTGGATCTGTGCTGGAAATGACCCACCTTGATTACCTTGCACATTGTAGGGAGAGTGGTCACTTTGGATAAGCTATTACCAGCAGGAGATTGAGTTTGTGTGTGTATGGGGGTGAGAGAACCTGGATTTGTGCAGGAAATGGCCCACCTTGATTATCATGCATATTGTAGGGAGAGTGGTCACTTTTGATAAGCTATTACCAGCAGGAGAGTGAGTTTGTGGGGGGGGGGGGGGGGAGGGTGAGAGAACCTGGATTTGTGCTGGAAATGGCCCAACCTGATGATCACTTTAGATAAGCTATTACCAGCAGGACAGTGGGGTGGGAGGGGGTATTGATTCATGGTCTCTGTGTGTATATAATGTCTACTGCAGTTTCCATGGTATGCATCCGATGAAGTGAGCTGTAGCTCACGAAAGCTCATGCTCAAATAAATTGGTTAGTCTCTAAGGTGCCACAAGTACTCCTTTTCTTTTTGGTTTTGTATCTGTTGATCTGGCCGGGTTTGGTGTTGCATTGAGTTGGTGGTTCCTGGTCTGTGGGGAGCTTGCTTCTGCTGATGAGCTTGGAAAGGTTGGTGGGTGGTTGAAAGGCCAGAAGAGGAGGTTCAGAAAAGTTTTCTCAGAATGGGGTCCCCATCAAGTATGGGTTGTAGTTGTGGGGTGTTAGTTTAATAGGCAGCAGGTTTAAAACAAACAAAAGGAAATATTTATTCACCCAATGCACAGTCAACCTGTGGAACTCTTTGCCGGAGGATGTTATGAAGGCCAAGACTACAACAGGGTTCAAAAAAGAACTAGATAAATTCATGGAGGATGTGTCCATCAATGGCTATTAGCCAGAATGGGCAGGGATGGTGTCCCTAGCCTCTATTTGCCACCTGTCAGAAGACAGGATACTAGGCTAGATGGACCTTTGGTCTGACCCAGTCTGGCCATGCTTATGTTCTTAACTAGGCATGTGCAGTCAGAGGAGGTTTTATTTCTGTATTGAAGCAGGTTCTCTTGGGGTATTTGTCTCACCCGTTCCATGATACGATCGACTTTTCTGGCGGAGTGTCTTTGTTTGGTGATGGCGGTTTTCAGCGTGTTAAGGTGAATATCCCGGACTTCCTTCTCGGAGTGTATTCTGCAGTATCGGAATGCCTGGCTGTAGATAACAGACCCATTGGTGTGTTTTGGGTGGGGACTGGATCTGTGATGGTAGCCAGGGTGATCCATGGGTCTCTTGTATTTAGTAGTCTGTCGGGTTCCAGGGTGGAAGAGGACCGTGGTGCCCAGAAAGTTGATCCTAGTGTGGGAGGATTCTAGGGGTGGTTGTTGAAGCTGTGGTGGAAATGGACGGGGGAGGTTGGGCCATCTGCCCACGGGGAAAATATCATCGGTGTAGCTCAGGAGCACCATTGGGTTTGTGGTGCATTTGCCCAGAAATTCTCTTGGGAGGCGGCCCATGAAGAGGGTCGGCCTATGGGGGAGCTGTGCGAGTGCCCATGGTCTGGACCAAGCATTTGTTGTCGGATGTACAACTGTCACGGCTGAGGATGAACTGGCTGTGTTTGGCCACGCATCTGGGGTGGATCTCCGAGGGGCGTCCATTGTCCCGCAAATCTCTGAGGCAGGTGGAGATGATGGAGATTCCACAACCTCCCTGGGCAATTTATCCCGTTGCTTAACCACCCTGACAGTTAGGAAAGTTTTTCCTAATGTCCAACCTAACCCCAACTTGCTGCAATGTAAGCCCATTGCTTCTGGTCCTGTCCTCAGGGGTTAACGAGAATTTTCTCCCTCCTCTTTGTAACATCCCTTTATGAACTTGAAAACTTATCACGTCCTCTCTCAGTCTTCTCTTCTCCAGACTAAACAAACCTGGTTTGTTTTTTTCAATCTTCCCTCACAGGTCACGTTTTCTAGACCTGAATCATTTTTGTTGCTCTTCTCTGGACTTTCTCCAAATCTTTCCTGAAATGTGGCGCCCAGAACAGGACACACTACTCCTGTTGAGGCCTAATCAGCGCAGAGTAGAGCAGAAGAATTACTTCTCGTGTCTTGCTTACAACACTCCTGCCATAAATCCCAGAATGATGTTTGCTTATTTTGCAACAGCGTTAGTGTTGACTCATATCTAGCTTGTGATCCACTTTGACCCCCAGATCCCTTTCCGCAGTACTCCTTCCGAAGCCGTCCTTTCCCATTCTTTATGTGTGCCACTGATTGGTCCTTCCTAAGTGGGGCGCTTTGCATTTATCCTGATTGAATTCCATCCTGTTGACTTCAGACCATTTCTCCCGTTGGTGGAGATCATTTTGAATGTGCGTTCACCACTGATGCTAACCTATCTGCCCAACCTTGTATTTAGCTGGGACACGCAGAGTGCCTTTCCCAGACCCAGAGACGAGCTCTCTACAGATGGACAGCTGGTCTCTTTCTCCAACAGAAGTTGGTCCAATAACAGATATTGCCTCGCCTGCCTTCTCTCTGCTCTGTTTTTATGTGGCTTGGAGCGTCTGTGGCTTTACAAATGGCGCACTAAAAATTGCCTTAAGTTTTGCTTTCCCCTCAACATGTCACACTTTGGGGATCCCAGCCTCAATCCCCTTGATTCTGTTGTGCCTGTTGCTGGGACTAGACACCTACAATCGCTCAGCTCTTTAAACTAGTAATTCATTGGAAATCAATAATAATCAATAACCACTAAAGAATCAGACACCAGGACACAGGGGTGTCTTCGGATCTGGGGTTCCCAGGGGCTATAATATGGCAGAGAGGATGCAGGAGTGTCACAGTGCTGGGGTGCAACGGGGCCCCGATCTCGGTGACTCTGTGTCTGGGCAGCGCCCGGCACGAGGGGGCCCTGATCTCGGTGACTCTGTGTCTGGGCAGCGCTCTGGCCATCCCCCCGATCTGCCCCCGCTGGGCTCTGGGGGACAGAGATCTGCCACAGCTCACGACTCCGGAAGCCGGGGCTCTGGGGAAAAGAGCCTGTCCCAGGAGTGGGGATGACGTTATGCTCGTTGGGGTCATGGTGCGATAGCTGCCGACTCCCCCATCTCTCTCTCTCTCTTTCTCTGCAGATTTCTCTCTCGGATTCTTTTATACGGATTGATCCATTTTTTATAACCACAAGAAGGAACCAGCTAACGGGGACCAGACGCCCTGACCTCCCCCGGCAACTCTGCGCCGTGTCAAGGCACCCTTCTGCCCCCCCCCACTGCCACCCAGTGCCATCTGCTGAGCCCCTCCATTCCCCCTACCCAGGGTTGTCTCACGGGACCCACCGTACCCCCCACCCAGTGCCATCTCCTGGTGCATCTCCCATCTCCACGTCCCTGTGCCCCCACATACACCCCAGCTGCCCATTTACTTGCATCTTCTGGGGCCCCTCTGTGCCCTCCTCACCTCCCCCAACCCAGGGCTTCTCCCTGCCCCCCCCATTTGCTCCCCGTCTCCCAGGGTCGTCCCCCCGCACACCATGTACCACCTGCTGACTGTCCTCCTCTGCGCCGCCCTGGAGGCCCTGAGCTGCCGGCCGGCCCTGGCAGTCCTCCAGGCCCCTCGCCCAGCCAACCACAGCCGGGCGCTGCCCAGCCTGCTGGCTCACCTCAAGCGGCTGGCGGGGGGCAACGGCACAGGGGCGGGGGCCTGGGGGGGCCGGGCGGCTGAGACGTGCCAGGGCTACTACGATGTCATGGGCCAGTACGACGCTGCCTTCAACTGCACCACGGGCGGCTACCGCTTCTGCTGCGGCACGTGCCACTACCGCTTCTGCTGCGAGCACCGGGCCATGCGGCTGGAGCAGGGCCGCTGCACCAACGTGGAGACCCCCTTCTGGGCCCACACCCAGGCCAGCAGCACGGCCGGGCCCGGGGGCCGGGGGCCGGGGGGCTCCGAGGCCGCCCGCCAGCAGAGCAACAGCACCGTCTACGTGGTCTGCGGTGTCATCAGCTTCACCCTGGCCGTGGGCCTGGGCATCAAGGTGGCCTTTGGCAAGGCTTCCCGCCGGCCCCAGGGGCGGGAGATCAACATGCCCAGGTGAGGGGGGAGAGTCGGGGGCCACGGGGAGGGGGGGGGGGGGAGGGGGGAGTGGGGCCACGGGGAAAGGGGGAGGGGAGGGAGGGGAGGGGGGCCATGAGGAAGGGGGAGAGGGGAGGGGAGAGTCGGGGGCCACGGGGAAAGGGGGGAGGGGAGAGGCAGGGGGACTTGGGGCACCATGAGGAAGGGGGAGAGGGGAGGGGAGAGTCAGGGGCCATGGGGAAAGGGGGAGGGGAGAGGAGGGGGGAGTTGGGGCCCAGGGGAAGGAGCCATGATTGGAAGAAGGGAGGGGGTCGGGGCGGGGGTGTCAGGCGGCCATGGGGAAGGGGGGGGAGGGGAGTATCAGAGGTCATGCGGGGATGGGAGTATCAGGGGTTCATGGGGGGAGGGAGAGGAGAGTGTCTGAGTTCATGGGGGGGGGAGGGGAGAGGCAGGGGGATGGGGCCTGGGGGAGGGGGTTGAGGGACAAGGGAGGGATTGGGGGGGGGGAGGTAGGGCATGGGGGGGGGGGGGGGGGGGAAAGGGGGGGTTGGGGGGAAGAGGGGGGGGGGGGGAGAAGGGGGAGTTGGGGCGGTGGGGGAGGGAGAAGGGAGGGGGGGGGGGGGAGGGTGGGGGGGGGGGGGGGGGAGGGAGGGGAGTTGGGGGGAGGAGGGGGAGGGGGAGGGGAATTGGGGCCTGGGGGAGGGGGCCATGACTGGGAGAAGGGAGTGGGTCGGGGAGGGGAGTGTCAGGCGGCCATGGTGGTGGGGGGGGAGGGGAGTATCAGAGGTCATGGGGGGATGTGAGTATCAGGGGTTCACGCGGGAGGGGAGGGGAGAGGCAGGGGGAATTGGAGGCCGGGGGAAGGGAGTGTCGGGGGCCATGGGGAAAGGGGGGAGGGGAGTGTCTGGGGTTCATGGGGAAGGGGGGAGTGGAGAGGCAGGGGGAGTTTGGGGTGGGGGGAGGGCGGAAGCAGGGGGGAGTTGGGAGCCAGGGGGAGGGGGCCCTGGCTGGGAGAGAGGAGGAGAGGGGAAGGGATCGGGGGTCAAGGGGAGAGGTGGAGGCCAGAGGGAGGGGTGCAGCTGGGGGGAGAGGTGTGGGGAGTTGGGGGCGAGAAGGGAGGGGGCACGGGAGTGGGGCTGGGTGTGGGGCATGGCAGTGGGAAGGGGGGCCGGCAGGACAGTGGGGGAGCACCTAGTGGCGAGGCCGGGTGGGGCAGCCCCAGGGTCTGTCTGGGCCCAGAGCCCCCTAGTGGTGAGGCCGGCGGCGCAGGCCAGGGCAGCCCCAGGGACCGTGCCCCGGCGGGGGGGGGGCCGGGTTACCTGTGGGTGTCTGACGGGCGCTGCCCCCCCCCCGCCCAGGGCTCTTGTCGACATTCTCCGGCACCAGGCTGGGACCAGCTCCCGCGCCGAGCGCAGCAACAGCACCGCCCTCACCTCAGCGTCCCAGGACAACGGCCCGGCCCGGCCCCCGAAGAACCTCTACAACCCCATCAAGCCCTGCCAGAGCAACCACGGTCGGTACAGCGGCACTCGGGGCCCTGCGCCGCGGGGAGTGGGGCGGGGGGCTCGGCGGGGGGCGCTGGGCTGCGGGGAGCGGGGCGGGGGCTCGGCGGGGGGCGCTGGGCTGCGGGGAGCGGGGCGGGGGGGCTCGGCGGGGGGTGGGCTGGGGGAGCGGGGAGGGGCTCGGCGGGGGCGCTGGGCTGCGGGGAGCGGGGCGGGGGGTCTCGGTGGGGGGGCGCTGGGCTGCGGGGAGCGGGGCGGGGGGCTTTGTTGGTGGGGGGGGCACGTGGGGAGTGGGGCAGGGGCTCGGCGGGGGGGCACTGGGCTGCAGGGGGCGGGGGCTTGGTGGGGGGGGCACTGGGCTGCAGGAAGCGTGGCAGGGGGCTCAGTGGGGGGCACTGGGCTGCAGGGAGCGGGGCGGGGGGCTCGGCGGGGGGCACTGGGCTGCAGGGGGCGGGGGGCTTGGTGGGGGGCACTGGGCTGCAGGAAGCGGGGCGGGGGTTTGTTGGTGGGGGGCACTGGGCTGTGGGGAGTGGGGCAGGGGCTCGGCGGGGGGCACTGGGCTGCAGGGGGCGGGGGGCTTGGTGGGGGGGGCACTGGGCTGCAGGAAGCGGGGCAGGGGGCTCAGGTGGGGGGGCACTGGGCTGCAGGGAGCGGGGCGGGGGGCTTGGTGGGGGGCACTGGGCTGCAGGGGGCGGGGGGCTTGGTGGGGGGGCGCTGGGCTGTGGGGAGCAGGGCAGAGGCTTGGTGGGGGGCGCTGGGCTGCAGGGAGTGGGGTGGGGATCTTGGTGGGGGGGCAGGGGGTGGGGCGGGGGCTCAGCGGGGGGCGCTGTGCTGCGGGGAGCAGGGTAGGGGGCTCAGCAGGGGGGGCTGGGCTGCAGGGAGGGGGCTGGGCGCTGTCTCCCCATGGCCGGATGTACTGTGTGTGTGCCCGCATTAGGGGCGTGCACTGGGTGTGTGTCTGGGGTATCCCCCATATCGCTGCCCACCCCTCTCTTGCGCCCCGGCTGCTCCACAACCAGCAGTTTCTCCCCCAAGGACACTGAGCTGAGTTGGGTCGGGGGGGGTCTGTGCCAGGGGCTAGGACATCCTGGGCGGGGGGTGGGGGGGGCTAGCACTCACCCTGGCGCATCCCATGCCCCACAGGCTGTTAACCCACGGAGTGCATCCCCTGCCCTCCTGCCTCCCACGGGGAACACTGGCCATGCCAAGGGGTGAAACCAGGAGCTGGGGGGGGGTGGGATATGCTTGGCTGCATGGCTGTCATCGTCACCCCACCAGCCTGTGCCCCACGATCATCTCCCAGCTGGGCAGGGGGGCAGGGGGGTGTTTGTCTGAGCACCCCACTGGGAAGCTGGGTATCAGGGCAGATGGACCCATGGGGCTGATCCACAGGGCAGGGAGAGGGGTGGGGGTCAGGGGCTTACTGGCAGGGGAGGCCATGAGGCCCGGTATCGTAGGGCCGGCATTAGGGGGTTAGATCTGGGGATGACAAGGGAGGGGTGGATTAGTCAGCTCCAGAGTCAGTTCAGCCCCTCCCCGACACTCAACCTTCCCCCATCACCAAGAGGCCCCCTTTCCCGATGGAGCCCCCCTGTGGGGAAAGGGGGGCGCATTGTCCATGGATTGGTCAGCCCGCCCTCTTCCCTCCGCCAGGCCCCCCGGGGGGCAGCTTGCTGAGACTGAACAAACTCATGTCGCACCCGGGGCTGTTAAACAGGCCTGCGCCTGGCTTGTTTGGGATCGGCGTCCCCTGGAGGGGAAAGGCCCCGGGCCCCATTCCCTGCCCCCCACCCCCACCCCCCGGCAAATCTTTGGGCAATGGTACTTTGGAGCCGGTGATTTCTGGGCCCAGGCATTATGGCGCAGGGTATGATGGGAGATCGCGGTTTGCTATGGCAACCGGTGCTAGCTGTCGTGGGGTGTCTGTGGCTGAGCATTCATGGCAGGGCTGGGGGGGGTGCGGTGGCTGAGTCATTCCCCCCCCCCAGGGGATCCGAAAACCTCCTTGAGGCATGTTCTGTTAAAGGGGGATTACGAGGTCTTGGGGGAGGGGATCTAAAGCAGGGGGTGGGGGAAGCAGAGAAATTGGAGAGGGGTCCCAGCAGCTGGGGGGGCAGCAGTGGAGTGCAGGACTGAGGGTGGACTGGGGAGGGGTCCCAGCAGCTGGGGGGCAGCAGTGGAGTGCAGGACTGAGGGTGGATTGGGGTGGGGTCCCAGCAGCTGGGGTGGCGAGGGGCGTGCAGGACAGAGGGTGGATTGGGGTGGGGTCCCAGCAGCTGGGGTGGTGAAGGGAGTGTAGGCTGGGGGGGTGGATTGGGGAGGGGTCGCAGAAGCTGTGGGGGGCGGCAGAGGAGTGCAGGCCGGAGGGGCGGATTGGGGAGGGGTCCCAACAGCCGGGGCGGCAGCAGGGCAGTGCAGGCTGGGGGGTGGATTGGGGAGGGGTCCTAGCAGTTGGGGGGCAGCAGGGGAGTGCAGGCTGGGGGGTGGATTGGGGAGGGGTCTCAGCAGCTGGGGGTGCAAGGGAAGTGTAGGCCAGGGGGGGTGGATTGGGGAGGGGTCCCAGCTGCTGGGGGAGCGCAGTCAGGGGGGCGGATTGGGGAAGGGTCCCATCCCCTTGGGGAGAGAGGGGAGTGCAGTCGGGGGGGGTTGGATTAGGGAGGGGTCCCAGCAGCTGGGGGTCATGGCCAGCAGGACATTAGCTAGCGGGGGTCAGTGTGGGCTGTCAGTTTAACTCTATCCTGCTGCCCCACATCGCCTCCTGTGGGGTGCAGGATCCCACTTCGCTCGCAGGCCCAAGCGGGCACTTTGTGCTGCCATGACACAGTGGCTGCACCCCAGAAGTGGCTGCATTTGGGAGCGATGTGGCCCTCGTTCTGCTTGGCATGGTCGGTGCCTTTACGGGGGCTGGGTATTTCCGTCCATCGGGAGGGGGACGGAGACACCCCTGGTCATCATGAACTGAGCTACTTCTCTAGCGCCCGTCACCATTGCGTCTGGGCTCCTCCCGCTCTTCTCCTGACACACCCAGGGAGGCAGGGCTGTCGTCTCCATTGTGCAGAGGGGGAAACTGAGGCAGGGAGCTACTACAGAATCTGGGCTGGGTCCCTGCAGCTGGGACTTCAGAGGCTGCAGCTCCGTGCGCGGCGCAGGCCCGGGGATGAGAACTGATCCCTGTTCATGCGGGGTGGATTCATTTTCCAGGGTAGGCTCCAGGGTCTCATTAGTGGGGGACCACGTGGGTGTTCTGGGGGCACTGGAGGGCACTCGACCCCATCACCCGCACCTAGGAATTGAGGCCCATTGAATATTCTTTGGGGGGCAAATTTCCCATTTGCGGCCCCCTGCCTGTAATGCCGGCCCTGAGCCTTCCCTACCATTCTACACTCCCCTCCCCGAGCCAGGAGAGAACCCAGGAGTCCTGGCTCCCAGCCCCCCCTGCTCTAATCACTAGACCCCACTCACCTCCCAGAGCTGGGGAGAGAACCCAGGCATCTGCTGGGGTGCACCCTGGTACTTGGGCAGCTTTAGGCGGGCCCAGGGAGACACCCAGTGGCTGTTTGGAGAATGGCAGGTTTCTTCATTACACTGCTCCAGAGAGTATCCATCCCTCCCTCCCTCCCTCCCCTGCAACCCACATCCCCCCAATCCCTCCAACCATCCCTCCCCTGCACCCCCACATCCCCGATCCCTCCATCCATCCCCCTGCACCCCCACATCCCCCCAATCCCTCTGTCCATCCCTTCCCTGCACCCCCACATTCCCAATCCCTCCATCCATCCATTCCCCTGCACCCCCACATCCCCCCAATCCCTCTCCACCCCCCCACATCCCCAATCCCTCCATCCATCCCTCCCCTGCACCCCCACATCCCTGATCCCTCCATCCCTCCCCTGCACCCCCACCCACATCCCTCCATCCCCACCTCTGCACACCCATATTCACTAATCTCTCCATCCCTCCCTCCCCTGCACCCCCACATCCCCCCAATCCCTCTGTCCATCCCTCCCCTGCACCCCCACATCCCTGATCCCTCCATCCCTCCCCTGCACCCCCACCCACATCCCTCCATCCCCACCTCTGCACACCCATATTCACTAATCTCTCCATCCATCCCTCCCCTGCACCCCCACATCCCCCTGATCCCTCTGTCCATCCCTCCCCTGCACCCCCACATCCCCGATCCCTCCGTCCATCCCTCCCCTGCACCCCCCACATCCCTGATCCCTCCATCCCTCCCCTGCACCCCCACCCACATCCCTCCATCCCCACCTCTGCACACCCATATTCACTAATCTCTCCCTCCATCCCTCCCCTGCACCCCCCACATCCCCCTGATCCCTCCCTCCATCCCTCCCCTGCACCCCCACATCCCCGATCCCTCCATCCATCCCTCCCCTGCACCCCCACCTACATCCCTCCATCCCCACCCCTGCACACCCATATTCACTAATCTCTCCATCCATCCCTCCCCTGCACCCCCCACATCCCAAATCCATCCCTCCCCTGCACTCCCACATCCCAAATCCCTCCCTCCATCCCTCCCCTGCACCCCCACCCACATCCCTCCATCCCCACCCCTGCACACCCATATTCACTAATTTCTCCATCCATCCCTCCCCTGCACCCCACATTGCCCCAATCCCTCCCTCCATTATTCCCTTGCACCCCTACCCCGATCCCTCCATCCCTCCCCTGCACCCCCATATTCCCGCTCACCCCAGAGGTATCTGCCCTCACACATTACCTTTAAGGGTTTGGGGGTTTTTTTGTCCCCAGACAAAAAATACATCAGGCGGACCCAGAGGTGTCTGAGCTCATACATTACCTTCAAGGGGCGTGGATGTTTGTCCCCAGACAGAAAATAACATCAGTCAGACCCGGCAGTCTGACCTTGCACCTTACCTTTAAGGGGCTGAGGTTTTTTTTGTCACCAGACAGAAAAGACTATCAAGCGGACCCTGGGCCAGAAGTGTCTGACCTTGCACCTTACCTTTAACGGGCTGGGCTTGTTTTTTTTTGGTCCCCAGACCGAAAATACCATCAGGCGGACCCAGAAGTGTCTGACCTTGCACATTACCTTTAAGGGGCCACTTTTTTTGTCCCCAGAGAGAAAATATCATGAGGCGGACCCAGAACTGTCTTACCTTGAACCTCACCTTTAATGGGCTGGAGGGGGTTTTTTTGTTTAGTTTTGTGTCCCCCAGACAGAAAATACCATCAGGCTGACCCAGAAGTGTCTGACCTTGCACCTTACCTTTAAGGGGCCACTTTTTTTTTGTCCCCAGACAGAAATAGCACCAGATGGACCCAGAAATCTCTGACCTTGCACCTTACCTTTAAGGGGCTGGGTTTTTTTGTTGTCCCCAGAAGGAAAATAGCACCAGGGGGCCCGGGCCCGGGTTCACAATGGCGCCAGTGGTGCCCTGGAGCCGGGCCCAGGCTCAGAAAGGGCCCTGGCCTGCTCCGCTTGCTCTGCGCCCCGGGACCCCGCCAGCCCCCTGGCCCAGCCGCCAGATCCCCTCTGCCCCCCGGCCGGACCCCAGTGCACCCCCGGCCCCAGGCAGTCTCTGCTTCCTCCCCACCACCTGGGGGGCCCCCTGTCCCCCCGGCGCTGAGCCACCCGGGACTGGGGCAGGAGCCCCGCCAGTCTCAGCCAGTTGATGGGGGCGCAGTGTGGGGAGCTTGGCTGGGCCCCTCCAGGCAAGTGGGTCCTGAGGGAGCCTGGCCGGAGCAGGCCCTGGCCTGGCTGATCGCGCCACTCCCGAGGGGCCGGAGCGAATCCCGGCCCCGGGACCAGCCCTGGCTGCGCTGCCGGCTCAGCCCAGCAGACAGTCGCCTCCCAGCAGGGCTGGTGACTGCGGCCGGGAGCCAGGGCGTGGGGGAAGGGGTCTGGAGGGTGCTGGGCTGCGCGGGGGCGAGGTAGATGTGTGTGTTGGGGCACATGGGAGTGGGGGCTCTGTGGGGGGTGCTGGGCAGTTGTGGTGGGGCGGTGGGCAGGGGGGGTGTTGTGCAGGGTGCTGTGCATTTGTGGGTGGGTCTGGGGGCGGTACTGGGCATAGTGGGTCGGCGGGGGCTCTGGCCATAGGGAGCTGGGGGGTGCTGGGCAGGGCGGGGAGGGGCTGTATGGCGTGACATGGGCCCGCCCCCCCGAGGGGAAGGGGCAGGCCGGCAGCACATGGCCAGGCAGCCGGTTTGTAAATAGTGCCCTGCACTGGGCTGGGCGGAGGGGGGCCGGCCCCTCGCTCGGGGGGCTGACGTCCCCACGCCACGCTCCATTTCCCCCCCCGGGGGCCCACAAATACGTTTGGTGCCGGGCCCACAAAAGGTTAATCCGGCCCTGGGGGGACCCAGAGGTGTCTGACCTCGCACATTACCTTTAAGGGGCTGGGTTTTGCTGGTGGGGTTTGGGGTTTTTTGCCCCCAGACGACTAACCCGGCTTTGCCTTGCAGACAACATGCACCACAACTACGTGCACCTCAGTGTGAGCAGCCCGAAGCACCACGCCGCCACGCTGGGTAGGTGGCGCGGGGGGCGGCCGGCCCAGCTCTGGGCCCCAGGGCCGGGGGAGGGAGCCCCGTTTTCTCACCCGAACTGCCCCAGGGAATCCGAATCCTCCAGCCGGGAAACGGGGGGTAGGGGGGAGGGAGATAAAATGGCTCGTTAATCTCTATCTTCACCCCTCCTCCAACCCCCTCTCCCTGGCCCGCTCCCTCCTGACCCCTCTCCCCACACTCCCTCTTCCCCTCCCCCTTCTCCCCCATCTCTTTCTGCCCACCCCAGACTGGCGAGTGCATCACACCCCAACGTCGGGCCTGAAGTACAACTCGCTCACCTGCTCCCGCTCCTTCCACAACCTCTCGCACCTGCCCCCGTCCTACGAGTCGGCCATCAAGTCGGAGCTCAGCCGCTACTCCTCGCTCAAGAGGCTGGGTGAGCCAGGGGCCCTGCCACTGGGGGGTGCTCACAGCCCGACCCCACCACTTCCACCAACCCCTGGGGACTTGCCCCGGGGGCCAGAGCTGGCCTGGGGAAGAATGGGGCCCAAGGCCTTTTCCCTCTAGGGGGCGCCAGCTACCATGTGGCCCCAGAGCAGGGACAGGCTGGCTCAGGGGGGTAGGGAATGGGGCCCAGGGCCTTTCCCCTTTAGGGGGGGGCCATCGGTTCCCAGGACTGACTGGCAGCCTGCGGGGGAAATGAATTCATTCACAGTGGCCCCGTCCGGCCATGGAGCCTGTGAACGTGCAAAGGAGAGTTGGTCACATTGTCCATTATCTCCCATCCCCCTGACCCGTCCCTCCTGCCTTTGCCCCTCCCATCTCCCCCCTCCCCTGCTGCCTTTGCCCCGCCCCCCAGCGGAGAAGGACATGGATGAGCTGTACCTGAAGCGGCGGCACCTGGCTGAGCTGACGCGGGGCACGCTGCCCCTGCACGCCATGAAGATGAACTACGAGCGCTACGGGGAGGCGGCCCAGCACCCGCGGCGGGTGATGTCCCAGGAGCACATCCTCTCGGACGGCTACCGCCCCTCCCCCTACGACTACACCGGCCCCCGGGAGCGGGTCGTCTCCCACGAGCGGCTGCTCTCCCGCGAGGTCCTGCACTCCCAGGAGCCTCTGCTCTCGCCCGAGCGCCTGCACCAGGGCACGGGACCCTTCCAGGAGCTGCGCCTGGGCCACCAGAAGGCCCTGTCCCAGACCAACATCTGTGCCGCTGGCACCCCGCTGCTCGAACGCCACCAGGGGCACAAGATGAACTCCCACCCGTCCTCCGCCAACTCGGCCCAAGCTGCCTGGGAGGTGGGCAGCAACCACACGGCCAACCGGCGCCAGGGCTTCGGCTCCCGCCGCCAAAGCACCATTGAGCAGCTGCAGTTCATCCCCGGGCACCACCCCAGCCAGCACCTCCGCACCGGGAGCAAGAACGAGGTCACCGTGTGAGGGCCCGGCTCAGGTGGACTCCACTTTCCAAGGCCACAGCTCTCTTCCTCCTCCTCCTCTGCGTCCTCCCCCCCGTCCTTCCCGTCTTCTTTCTTGGACCGGGCGGCCTGCTGGGCTTCAAGGCCTTTGCCGGGCTTTGGTGGCATCCGCCTTTGATGACCTCAGCGCCATGAGTCCTGTCAACTTTTGATGATGTCAGGGTTAGGTTGAACCCATCCACGCTGGATGACGTCAGCCCCTGTCGACATTGGGTGACATCGAGGTTGCCTTGTCTCCGTCCATGTTAGATGATGTCCACAACTGGTGACATCACTGCTGTGGGCCCTCTTGACTTGTGATGATGATAAGATTGCCTTGGGCCCGTCCGTGTTGGGTGACCTCAGCGCCACAGGCTTTGTCAACTTTTGATGATGTCAAGGTCGCTTTGAAGCCATCCACGCTGGATGACGTCAGCCCCTTGGAGCCTGTTGAGATTGAGTAATGTCAAGATTGCCTTGTCTCCGTCCATGTTAGATGATGTCAGTGCCCTGGGCTCTATCGACTTTTGATGTCAAGATTGTGTTGAGCCTCTCCATGACTGATGACATCAGTGCTCGGGGCCCTCTCAACTTTTGTTGATGTCAGGATTGCCTGGGGCCCATCCACATTGGGTGACATCAGCACCATGGGCCCTGTCAATATCTGATATCAAAGTGGTGTTGGGCCTGTCCCCGTTGGATGACATCAGCACCATGGGCCTTGCTGACATTTGATGATGGCAAGATTGTGTTGGACCCATCCACGTTCGATGATGTCAAATTGCATTTGGCCTGTCCACCGACATCAGCGCTGTGGGCCCTGTTGATGGTTGATGATGTCAGGACAGTCAGGCCTGTCCATATAGGATTGCGTCAGTGCTGTGGTTGTGTCAACATTTGATTCCATCAGGACCAGCTGTCCTGTTGACTTTTGATGATGATGTCAGCACTGGCCATCTTTGATGACATCTGCACTGTGGCCCTTGTCTATGTGTCATGATGTCAGTACCACCAAGCCCGTCAACCTGTGATGATGTAAACACTGTGGGTCAACCTTTGATGATGCCAAGAGGGCTCTCAACCTCTGCTGTCAATACCGTCTCCATCTCATGACATCAACACTGTGGACCTTGTCGGTGATTGATAACATGAGTGCTGTGGGCCTTGTTGACGTCTGATGACATCATCGCCGTTTCATGGTCTCAACACTGTGGACCTCGTTGACCGTGGATGACACCAGTGTCCTGGGCGTCAGCCTGCTGGTTTTGACATCAGTCCAGTGGCTCCGTCACAGATTGACGATGCCTGTTCACTGGGCGTTGTCACTGATGATGTCACAGCAGTTGGCCTGGTCAATAGTTGAGGAGATCAAGCACTGCCAGGCCATCATCAACCCTTGATTATGTCAGCACTGCGGACTTTGTTGGTGATGGATGATGTCAAGATCATCAGGGTCTGTTGACCTTTAATGTCGGCCCTGTTGATATTCAGTGATGTCAACTCTGTGGACCTGGTTCCTTTTTTTGATGACATCAGCACTGTGGGCTTTGTCTATCTTTGATTATGTCAGTGCTGTGGGCCCAGTCCACTTGTTGATGATGTCACCGCTGTGGACCCAATCCCCTTTTTTATGACATCACAGCTGTGGACCTGGCCCGCTTTTTGATGCTATCGCCGCTTTTGAGACTCAGCCCGTCCCATGATGTCATGCCCGCCGGCCCCGTCCATTCAATGAGGACGCCATGGTGCCTTCCGATGACATCAACGCTCCCCTCCAGCAGGCCAGATGCCCCCTGGCGCCAGGGTGGGAGCAAGCGGCCCCCTCTCCCCGGATCTCATGGCCGGGGCTGAGAGCTCATCAGGTGGGCCATGGTATGGCCAAACCTCCACTTCCATCCCATCCCACCGCTGAACCCCATGTACATATCTTTATATAGTGCTCTCTGGTATCTCTCTTCCAGTGCTTCGGCTCTTTGGATTTCCAGCCCACTCCACTGCCATGGGGCGGGGGAGCACGAGCCCCCACCCCTCCAGCACACGTGAATGTAGTTTGAACAGCCTCAGCTCTTTCAAACCCCGCCCCTCTCTCCCCAAGATCGTGGGTCACCCCCACGCCATGGGGGGGGGGGGTAACTGGGTCTTCGTATCATGCCTTTTTCTTTATTTCTCTTCCGTTTCTTCGCGGGCCGCTTGCTAGGCCCTGGGATCTTCGATCTCATCACCCAGTAGAGTTCTGACGGGTCTCAGCCTCAAACCTTTTCATCCCTTCGTCCCCCTCTGCGCTCAGACCCCGACCGTCCAGCGCCAAAACATGCTCCTCTTCTGCACTGCGGTATGCCTACGGGGCATGGCCGGCTGCTACGGATACAGAGGTGCTGAGATGGGGTCCTGCCGCGCTGGGCGCTGCACAGATATCGTCACTGAGAGCGGAGTCGCATCAGGCCAGGTGCTGCCCCATCACACCGGGTACTGCCCAGACAAAGAATCACTGAGATCGGGGCCCCGTCGCGCCGGGCACTGCCCAGATACATACTATCTGTGTCTTCCCCACAGAGCTCTCCATCTAAAAGTATCAAAATCAGCTGGAACCCAGGCTAGCCCACAGGGCTCCCTCTCCCCTTCGTGGCTGTACCATGGATAGTGGTTTATAGGCCACGTACCATTGGAGCTCTTTAGCCCAGGTGTAACACAATCCTATTCTTCCCCAAGGCATTAGAAACTCCCGAGGGCCTTGGCATGGCTTCTGGTACAGACCGTCCAGCCTTAAATAAAACCCCTCTCTTCACATTGGCTCCTGACCTCAGGGGACTCTCTGCAACCCGGTTAGGCAGTAGCTTAAACACCAATACAAGGAGTGGCTTTATTGCCATACGGTTAGCCTGTGGAACTCCCCACCACTGTATGTCACTGTGGCCAAAAGCTTAGGTGCCTACAAAGGATCAGCTTCTCTAGGGGTCACTGTGACTCATGGCAATTCAGCCGGGCCCTCTGTCGCCAATCTCTTCAGCTGGGGTTATAAATCAAGAGCTGAAATAATTTAAAGCCAACCCCCTGGGTGGGTTAGTCTATTTGCCCCCCAGGGGATGTCTTGTCCCTTCCTCTGAAGCAAGTCTGTAGGGACCACTGGTGGAGACCCGGTTACCGGGCTAGATGGGCCTGCCCACTTGTCAGTTCTTAGACTCCTGTGATTTTTGCGGGGGGTGCTTCAGTGTTTGGGGTGCCCGTCTCAAGCGGCTGATTGTGAGAGAGGCGGGCGCTCAGTGCTGCCAGGTGATTGGGAATGCCTTGATGGCATCCGGAAATCACAGGAACAGAGGAAATTGACTGGAGCCGATTAATGGGCCCATCTAGCCCATCCTGTCTCTGACTGTGATCAGTACCGGATGCTTCAGGGGAAGGTGGTTAAAGCAGAAGGTTTGGGGACTCAGGACTCCTGGGGTCTATCCCTGGGGAGGGGAGCGAATTAGTGGTTAGAGCAGGGGAAGAGGGTCAGGTGTCAGGACTCCTGGGTTCCATGCCCCCTAAGACCGGTTGGATATCCCTTCCCACATTATGTTCCCGCTGGAGAGTCCTGTTCTCCATAGAGTCTGGGGCCTGTTGGGAGCGCTGGGATTGCCTAGTCTATCCCCCAGCGTAACGCAGGCTGGACCTGTCCTCTCCCCTTTTGAATCACCCTAAATTCTTGTTTTCAACAACCCCCTGCCACGGTGAGTTCCCCAGGCTCATTCCACATCATGTGGAAAAAAGCATTCCCTTTAACTCCCCTTGTCCTTTTAGCCAATCTCTCATGCTCCCCTCCCTGCCTCCCCCCTTTCAAAACACAACCCTGCCCCCGGCAGTTAACCCTTTGGACACTCTGAATTCAGAGGCCGCTCCCTTTAAGGGTCAGGCTGCAGGACATACCAGGCAGGGGGGGTTTAGGATTTGGTTTTTTAGGGCCCCCTTTTGAGGGGCGATTTTCTCTCCCCCCATCCCCCTGCCTAGTCATCCAGGTGTGGCAAAGCTATAAGCTTACCCTTCCGGACGGGGAGCCCCAGCCTCCAACCTTCCCCTCCTCCAGCTAGATTTCTGCCCCTCTGCTCCCTTCTCAGGATCTTTGGATGAGGTCAGCTGGGCTCTGCCCCCTTGACTTCACTGGTGCCATAGGGCAGAGAATAGCCGTGGCGCAGGACGCCCCGGCCTTGACCCACAGCTGCCCCCAAAGGGCCCCAGGGGAAAGGGAATAGCCACAACTCAGGGCACCCCTGCCATGCCCCCGATCTGCCCCCATGGGCCCTGGGGGACAAGGAATAGCTATAGCGTCAGGGGCCCCAATCTGCCCTCTACTGCCCGGTGTGGGTGCAGCACCCTCATCCTGGCTGGGGCAGAGCACCCAGGGGCCCAAGCGTCTGGGGAGAAGCTCATGGGTTTTCTGCCCCACAACACTGGCGACGGCAGCACAAGCCATTCCCCCCACCTCCCCACTACGTCGTGCCCCCGGGATCTGTGGGGGACCCCCTCCACCCCCCCATTCCTTCCCAAGCCCCCTTCGTCCCCCTCCCCAGACATCCCCTCCTCCGCTGAACTCGAATCAAGGGCTAATGTTTCCTCTTCCTCCCCTCCTTGCCCCAGGGGTATTTTCGTGTTGGGAGGGGCAGGTCGGGGGGGCAGGGTTTTGTTGCTGTTGTTGTTGTTTTTTGGAAGTATCTCAATGCAAAACTTTCCCCTGATGGGGGGGGACCCCAGGCTTTGGGGGGCAGAGGGAGCCGAGCCATTGGCCCCATTCACCCTGCCCTTTGCCCCCCAACTCGAGCCACCACCACCCCCCAAATAATCCCAGGGATTTTGGATCTTCCCAGTCAGCTCAAACCCAAGATGGGTTTGGGAGGGGACCGGTTTGGGAGACCGCTGTGGGCCTCCCTTGTGTGGCCCTCCTGGGTCGGGGAGGGCGGGGGGGTGTCAATGCGTCCTCCGCCTCGGTCCCATGCCTCCAAGCATAAGCCATAGTTGACCTGGGGCAGGTTGGGTCCCGGGATGAACAGCCATTCGGCCAGGACGGGACCTGGAACCCGCCCTGTGGGGGTCCGTGTTAGAGGAAAGGTGCTGAGATGTGGGGGGACTGGCTGGGGGGATCCCTAGTCACCCCACGTCACTGGGAGCAGGGCGGGAGGGCGGTCATGGCATCCTCAGAGATTGTACAGACCAGAGTGAGCACGAGGATGGGGGCAGTATGTGTAGGGGGTGGGGGCATGGTGGGAGGTATGAGGGGAGCGTGGGGGGAGGTGGGAGTTTGGTGGGAGAAATGGGGGGATGGCAGAGGTGGGGAGGTTCAGTAGGAAGTGGTGGGATTGGCAGGAGGAATGTGGGGGGACAGCGGAGATGTGTGAGGAATGTGGGGGGATGGCAGGAGGTTTTGGGGGATGGTGGGAGGTCTGGGGGGATGACAGAAGTGGGGGGTTGGCAGGAGGAATGTGGGGGACAGCAGAGGTGTGTGAGGAATGTGGGGGGATGGCAGGAGGTTTTGGGGGATGGTGGGAGGTCTGGGGGGATGACAGAAGTGGGGGGTTGGCAGGAGGAATGTGGGGGACAGCAGAGGTGTGTGAGGAATGTGGGGGGGATGGCAGGAGGTGTGAGGGGACAACGGAGGTGGGGGGTTGGCAGGAGGAATGTGGGGGGACGGCGGAGGTGTGGGAGGAACGTGGGGGGACAGCGGAAGGTGGGAGGTTGTGGGGAGGTGGGGGTTGTTGTGAAGTGTGTGAGGAATGTGGGGGTTCAGTGGAAAGGTGTGGAGGGACGATGGAGGTGTGGGGGGACAGCGGAGGGGTGAGGGGTCTCTGGGACGTGCAGGGGTTGGGAGGGGCTGCGTGGGTGGGTTGCGTATGAAGAGAACGTGTGTGTGGGGTGCGCGGGCGTGGGAGTGGTACCAGCGTGGGCATGCCGGGTTGTGCCCGGCTGTTGGCGTTGGGTGTGTTGGCACGCGCACGGCGGGATCCGGGGAGGCTCAGCAGGGGCACAATGTGTGTTGTATGGTGTGTCCTTGGCTCCATGCCTGAGACCCAGCTCTCCCTGCCCCTCTCAGGGCCGGGGGGCCCGCACCCTGCAGAGACCAAAACCCACCATCTGGGCCGATCCCCCCACCCAATGCTCAGCACCCACTCCCCATGGGAGTCCATGGCACATCCTCCCCTCCGGGGCTGGGATATGTCGCTCTTCCGTCCCGCGGCCCAGTTCTGGAGAACTCCCGGCATGATGCCGAGGGGCCGGTTCTTCAGACCCCGGGTGTCTTGTTTTGCATTTTTTTTAATATGAAAAATAAAACGGTGTCTTCTATTTTTAGAGCCGCGACTGTTTTGACCAGTCGCGTCACACGCGCTAAGGGTTAAGCCATAGGCTCTGACTGGAAAGCCCAGCCTCGGCTTGCGAGGCGCCCTCCCCACTCCTGATGGGCCGACATGTGGCGTTGACTCCGGCCCGTCTGTTTCGCCGGCCGGCAGGTACGGCAGCGCCTCCCACGAAGTTCTGTGCGATCGGACGGGTGCGTTGGCTCCCCGGCTCCCACACTCGAGGTGTGACCAGCCTCAAAGCCGGCCTAGGCCTCGCTTCGCGGCCACCGGGCTCTCGTCGCTCCTCAGGAGGCCCTAGTGCATGGGAGCTCCCCCGGCACGGCGGAACGAGGCACGCAGCGTCCGTGCCCAGCTGTGCGTGTGGGCGGGGCGTCCTGGGTTCTGAGCGCAGGGGAACAGCTGTATAAACGGCCTATAAACAAGGGTCTACACTGAGCTTGTTACCGCTCGTTCACCCTCTGCCATTCACGGTCTGTTAGGCACTTGGCAGCGTGCTAGTGGTGAGCATGGGTGTCTCGATAGTCATTTGCTATTCACTCCTCCCTGTTCACTGCTCTCTGTTCACTTTGTTATTCACTTCCACTGTCCCCGTTCACTGCTCACCTTTCACTATTAGTTATTTGCTATTCACTGTTCACTGTCCCCATTCACTCCTCACCGTTCACTGTTCGTTATTTGCTATTCATTGTTCACCCTCCCCATTCACTGCTCACCGTTTCACTCTTAACCATTCATTGTCCGCTATGCAGTTTGCACTCTCAGATATCCCTCACTATTCTTCATTCACTATTCGGCCCTCGTGTTTCATTCTTTGCTCTTCCTGTTCACGGTGCAGCTCGCTCTTTGCCGTTCACTGTTCTTCTTTCTCTTGTCACCATTTCTCGTTAAGGTCCCCTCGTTCCCCGTCCGCTGTGCTTTGCATACGATTCCCTCTTCATCGCTCACTCTTCCCTGCGTCTTCACTAGTTCTCATTCCCTTGCCGCTCTTGGCTCCTTGGCTGCCAGCCGCTACTTGCCCAGTGGCCATTGGCTCCTCCTCACCCACCAGGCCGTTTTGAGAAAGGCCCAGGAAGACAGCAGGTGGCCAATCCCACGCAGTGCGAGATCCCCACTGGGGAGCCCCACCATGGGCGACAGGTGCCGAGAGTGTCCCGTGACCAATCAGTTGGGCTCCTGTGGCTCAAACCCAGGGAAATCAGGACTAAACCCAAGGGAACAGGAGGGGCCTTAGCATCAGGTTGTTCCACTTGCCCCAGTAGTGGAAGGGCCCCGATAACCAGCTGCTGAGGACGGGGAACCCATTTCCCCTGCCCCGCAGCCGAGTGCCCCCCCGCCCTGCTCCCCACAGCCCCGTGCCCCCTGCTGAGCCCCCGCCCTGCTCCCTGCAGCCCAGCGCCCCCTGCTGAGCCCCCGCCCTGCTCCCTGCAGCCCAGCGCCCCCTGCTGAGCCCCCCGCCCCTTCCCTGCAGCCCAGCGCCCCCTGCTGAGCCCCCCGCCCCTTCCCTGCAGCCCAGCGCCCCCTGCTGAGCCCCCCGCCCCTTCCCTGCAGCCCAGCGCCCTGCTGAGCCCCCGCCCTGCTCCCTGCAGCCCAGCGCCCCTGCTGAGCCCCTGCCCCTTCCCTGCAGACCAGCGCCCCCTGCTGAGCCCCCGCCCTGCTCCCTGCAGCCCAGCGCCCCCTGCTGAGCCCCCCGCCCCTTCCCTGCAGCCCAGCGCCCTCTGCCCCAGTCCCGTCAGCACAGTGGCCCTTGCTGAGCCCCCACCATTCTCCCCGCAGCACGACACCACCTAGCACCAAACTGGGGTATCGGGGCCTGCACAAACTGCCTGGGGAGAGCGCCCCATAGTGAGCAAAGGGTCCATTTAGCCTTGTACCCTGCCCTCTCTCTGCCCCCCCACCCCAAATAAGACGCATGGGCCCATCTAGTTCAGTAGCCCACCCCCTGCCAGCCCACTCCGGATTAGACCTGTGGGCCCATCTAGCCCGGTATCTGATCCCAGCTGATCCCATCTCTGGCAGTGGGCAGCACCAGCTGTCTCAGAGGTAGGTACAAGGACGCCCCCTAGTGGGCAGCCGGGGGGCAGCCTTCCAAACCCCAGTGCGGCAGGCAGAGTGCGGGGGTCGCCCTTCTGGCTCTGAACTCCCCCGGCCTGGCATGGGGGTTCACGTGCTTACCCCTGCGGGAGCCCCGTCCAGCTACAAAAACGACGCAGCCCCTGGATCGCACAGAACTCAAAAGGCGCCAGAACCAAATCAGGTTAATTTAAACGGAATTACAAGCAAAAAACCAAACCAAAACAAAAAAAAAACCCTAATAATTAATAATAATCAAAGTAATTAACTACCGACTCAATGAATCAGGGGACCACGCCAGCGGGTGCGGCAAATCTCGAAGGACTCTGGGCTCAACCCATAGGCCAGTGACTCCATATGTATTTAAAGGAGAAATAAAGTTGTTATAAAGTACCCGGGAATTGCTGTAATTTTGGGATTTTGAATAAACTGATGTTTCCTGCTGCTGGTTTTGAGTCCTCCCCTTGCTGTCAGCTGTTACGACAGTGTGCAGTTTGGCCCCTCTAGGGGGGCGGAGGCCAGTTACATGGGGACCCCCCTCGCCTGCCGCTGGGACATGGCCCCTATGGGATGGGGTGGGGAGCTGGGTATTCGGTGACCCCTCACCTGGTGCTGGGATCTGCCTCCTCTGGGGTGGGACGCGGGGGCTGGTTATACAGGGGGACCCTAGCCTGGTGCTGGGATGTGCCCCCTCTGGGGTGGGATGCGGGGGCTGGTTATACAGGGGGACCCCACCCAGGGCTGAGACGTGGACTTTCTGGCATGGGGAACAGGTGCTGGGGATCCGGGGACCCCTTGCCTGGCACTAAGACCTGGCCCCCTCTGGGGCAGGATGTGGGAGCTGGGTATCCATGGATCCCTCGCCCAGCTGGGATGCGGCCTCTCTGGGGTGAGGCGTAGGGGCTGGGTCTATGGGGACCCCTCGCCCAGGGCTGGGACGCGGCCTCTCGGGGTGGGGGCTGGGTGTATGGGGACCCCTCGCCCCCTGCCTGGTGCAGGACAGCAGCAGTTCTGCGCCGGCCCGGCCCGACGGGTTGGAGCCGCCCAGCAGGGGACGTGGCCAGGCCCCGTGGCCCTGGAGCTGCTGGCCGGAGGGCCCGAGGGCGTTTTACAGGGCACCCCAAATACCAGGCCTTGGGCCTTAATATTCTCAGAGAAGGGAGCACAGATGCCCCCCACACCGCCTGCCAAGGGTGCCTCCTCCCTGCTTCCCTGGCGGGGAATCTCCCTCCCTTCCTGGAGCACTACAGGGCTCATGACACACACACACACAGCCTCTGGGGCAGCTCAGGAGGGCAGGGAAGGGGTCACACAGCCTCTCCCCTCTGGGGTCAGCCCCCCAGGCCTCGCTGAGATGGGGTGCAGACATTCCTTTACGTTAGGGTGACCCTAATTCTCCCCCTGCCCACAGCCCCAATTCCATGAGCTGATTGGCTTATGTCATATTTGCATATTATATGAATATTTATAAGGCTATGTACAGGGAGGGCGTTCGCTCCTTTAGCTCTAATTGGCTGCTTGGGCTGCCATTTTCAACAAAATAAAGGGAAGTCCCGCCTCCTCCTCTCAGTTTTTTTCTAAAAGGTCGCGCCCCTTTGTGGGAAGTGGATCGTGTCCCGCCCTCCCCCTTCCGCACGGGCTTCTCCGTCCCCATTGGCTTCGGAGACCGTCAATCCGGCATTTCAAATCGCTGCCCCGCCCCTCTCCCCGACCGTTACGGGTAAACAACCCTGTGCTCCCTCTTCCCCCCTCCCTCCTGCCTCTCAAACCGCCGCCTCCACGCGTTCATATTCAAATCCCGCCAATCGGACGGCT